AGCCAGCGCACACGCACACACACAGCCCGCAAACCTGCGTGCACACACATCCGCAGAGCCCGCACACCCCAAAACTCGCACAGCTTGCAAACAGGCTGCAAACCCGCACGTCACGGGAGCACACGCAGTCGGCAGCCCCACAAACTTATCCCCACGCGTGTGTGCACGCACCCCCCATGCAAACACAGCCCGCAGCCACCCGCAAACACACCTCTTGAGCAAACACAGCCTGCGCGCAGAGCTCGCACCCGCTCCGTCCCGCACAGGCAGTGCCCCTGCACGGTGTCACCCACCCGCGGCACCCGCGTGGATCACACGCACAGTCACAGGCTGCTGCCTGCAACCCCTGCTGCAGCCCCCGAGCGCTGCCGCAACCTGCCAACAGCCTCTTCCCGTCCCTCTGCAGAGCGCCAGCGCTGCCGTAGACACGCGGCGCGCACGCAGCACCCCGGCACCCCCAGACAAGGTCTGGGGCAGGGTCACACGGTGCCTGGTGGCTTGGTGGGTCCCCATCCCACCAGCCCCCAGGCAGCACGGCAGGGCTCCTGGTGCCACACCAAGGGCAGTACTGAGGTGGAACATCCTTCTGGAGTCCATGCCTTGGTGCCTCCACAGGTCCTCAAGGCCAGAAGGGATATAAGGAGAGGGCTGAGGGGAGCAGGCAGTCACTTTCTGCCTGCAGACTCCAGAACCTCCCTCTGCCCATCCTGGAAGGCATTTGCAGAGGGTGTAAAGTGCAGCCCCAGAGATCATTCCATCCCTCAGCCTGGGCAGTAGGAAACCTTGGGATGGTATCCCCAACCCTGTCCTTCTTTGCCTGCACAGGTGGCCCTGGTCAGCGAGCCCAGACAGCGGTGGATGAGCGCTGGGCACTGGCCTAGCCACACACACACACCGGCACCATGGACTTCGTCATGAAGCAAGCGCTGGGCGGTGAGTGGGAGCTCTTCCCCCCTCAGGGTCCCCCCTCCAGGAGCAGACCTGGCCCAGCATCCCAGTAGTGCGGTGGGAGGGACATGGCAAGGGGACAGAGTCACACAGAGAGCCACCCAGTGGCTCTCTGGCAGTGGGGAGCTGCTGCCAGAGCCCTCCAGGCTTTCCATTTCCAATGTCATCAGCGGCTGGCTGGGGAATCCTGGCTCTTCTGCCACTAAGTGGGATTCCCCAGCAGGTCCCCTGGGTGCTGAAGAAGGAGCTGCTGGCATCTCCCCCAGCTGACACTGAACTAGAACAGCCAGTCTGTGGCACTCCCCATCCCCACAGCTTCCCAAGCGCCTCTGCAGCCCACTTCGGTGCAGGTGGCCCTGGGGGATGTCCCAGGTCCTCCTTGCCAGGGGCCTCCTTGTCCTCTCTGCTGCTGCAGGGGCTTTGGCAGCAGCACCGGGCTGCAGCACCCATGAGGACCAAGGGTCTTGTTATACACAGGGGCCACCAAGGACATGGGGAAGATGCTGGGGGGCGAGGAGGAGAAGGACCCCGACGCGCAGAAGAAGGAGGAGGAGAGGCAGGAGGCGCTGCGCCAGCAGGAGGAGGAGCGGAAAGCCAAGCACGCCCGCATGGAAGCGGAGCGGGAGAAAGTCCGGCAGCAGATCCGTGACAAGGTGGGCACACGCCTCCCCTGTGCCTGCCCCTGCCCGTGGCAGCCGGGGTGGGGCTGGGACAGGGAGCCGGCACGGCCGGGAGGAGGGTGGCCCAAGTCGGTGGCGATGGGCACGGGGCACAGCACAGGCAGCGCCCACTGCCTGCCCTGCTGAGAGCCTGTGTCCTCTCAGTACGGGCTGAAGAAGAAGGAGGAGAAGGAAGCAGAGGAGAAAGCTGCTCTGGAGCAGCCGTGTGAGGGCAGCCTGACGCGTCCCAAGAAGGCGATCCCAGCAGGCTGTGGGGATGAGGAAGAGGAGGAGGAGGAGAGCATCCTGGACACCGTCCTCAAGTACCTGCCCGGCCCACTGCAGGATATGTTCAAGAAGTAACAGCACCGTCAACCCTGCCATAGGGTGCTGGGGCACGGGCGCCCTCTCTCCTACAACTCCTCCATCAGTTCCCTTGGCCCCGGAGAGGGGGTCTCCACACCCCCTCCCATCCCCTCCTGCCCTCTCCCCCAACCAGACCAAAAGCCCGCCCCGTCCCGTCCAGGCAGGGCCCCCCCACCACGCCAAAGGGGAGCAGCCCTGGCCGGACAGGGCGAACCGGGACCAAATGCACTGATGTAACCTCGCGGCAGGCTAGGG